TGCAGAGATATCAGGGTTTGGGTAACTTCTGCAGGGAGTTAATTGACTCCAGAGGCTGCCCAGAAACACGCTCACAGTCCCCTGCCACACTCGGAGGGAAGATAAGGAGCAGCCACCCGAGGCAGGAGGTGTTTGGGCACAGGAGAGCAGGGCTCCAGCCTGGCAGGCTGCAACAAAGCCCTTCCAGCACCTTCATTAAATCACACAGCGCTGGCTCCGAGCACTCAGTCTGTGCCTCTGACCACCCTGTACAAATGATCTCACACCGCTCAACCCCCCCGGCTGCCGGCGCCGCTCCTGCCGGCACTTTCCCTCTTACCAGCCCTTCTGGGGATCGGCCAGGAACAGCTCTCCAGGGCTTAAAACTGCCTCTGGCCATGATGGAAGTGTTGGCAGCTGCTCATGCCCAGCTCCAACCCCGCGTCTTCCTGCTGGGGTGGGGATGTGGGGCTGAGGGGATGTGGGGCTGAGGGGATGCAGGGGTGAGCTCTGTCCTCACTCAGAGAGGACTAGCACCTCTGGTCCCACAGCCTCACAAATCCATGGAGCCTTTGGCTGTCCTGAGTAATGAGTTTTCCCAGTCCAGGGCAAGAGCTGGGCTGTGCTCCCTGGTCTGGAACGGTGGCACAAGACTTTGTTTTGGTTTTGTGACCTGGCTGCACGTCCTGCCAGCTGATGCTTTAACCCTCATTGGGGCAGAACCACCCTCAGGGTTTCTCCCCTGTTTGAGCCCCCTGACAGCACAATTATGTGCTCAGAGGGCAGGCTCAGGTTGGCCCTGCGGGTGCTGCTGGGATGCGCTCAGCCCTGCGCAGCCTCTCGTGAAGATCCAGCTTTCCTGGCACAGACAGGGCAGCATCTTCCCAGCCCAAAATGGAAAGGCCAAAAACAAAATAAGAAGGCACAAAATCCTCCCCTCCCTCCCCATGGAGGAGCTGATGGTGCCCTGAGCAAAGTGCTGTGGGTGAAGCAGCTGCTCAGAGAGCCAGGGAGGGACAGGGCTGTGCACAGCCTCACCCCAGCACCGCTGCCTCACTGTGCAAGGTGTACCCGAGGAGAAGGGAGCTGGGCCAGGGGGTGCCAAGGAGCAGGGACTGCGGAGGGACAGTGCCCGGGGTGCTCGGGATGAGGAAGAGGAGGCTGGGGATGGGACAGGAGAGGGGTGACCCACACCGAAGGTGCCCGGCGGAGCTGGGCTGTCCCCGCAGCCCTCCCACCCCACCGGCCCCATCACACACCGCTTTCACCCACAGCTCGTTTACTCGCACTCTGTAAATCAGTGAGAGAACCAGCCCTGCCCTTCCTGAGCAGAGGGACGGCCAGGGCCGGTCCCACCGCCCGCTCCCTCCCAGCACCGGAGCCAGCGCTGCCGGGAAGGGCCGGGGTCATCCACGCCTGCTCCCAGCCAGGCTCGGGAAAGTGCTGAGCATCCACCACACCTCCCTCGGGAAACAACGGGAGCACCCGTCCTGGACTCCCAAAGTCCACGCCACCGAGTGTCCGTAATTATTTAGCTTAAGGATAATCTGCATCTTTCAGATACAGCCAGCCATCATCTCCGAGGTAATCTCAGGTCACGGAGCCAGAAGGGAAGAGTAATCAGCCGTTCTGAGTGTGGAAGACACAAAGAAACAAGCAGTGAGAATCAGTCGGTGGCAGCAGGTCTGTTACACACAGGGGGCTGTGCTGGGGAGCTTTTCCCTGGCAGCCAAAGCAGCTGGGGCAGCTCCAGCCCCTGTGCCTTGCCCTGCCCCTGCCCTGCACAGCCTCTCTGCAGCCAGGCTGAATTACCCCGAGCTGCTGCAGCAATGTCAGGGCAGCCCAGCACTGATGGGCAGCACCCGAGCTGGGTTTAACTCAGTTAATGCACAAAGCTGCTCCTCTATAATCACATTGCCATGGCTGTGGTTCCTGGCAGCCCCAGCCAACCTCCAGGCTCCACACAGCCCCGCTGGGAAAGGTTTGCTGCCAAGCTGGGGATGTTTTACAGGGGTTTGCTCGGCACAGGACAGGGAGCAGCATCCCCCAGCACATCTGGACACGAGGGTGAGAGGGGTGAGGATCTGCAGATGGAGAAAATACCCACAGAGGAATTCCTGGGAGCTGCTGCAGCTGGCAGGGTGGGTTTGCAGTTCAGGGAAGTTCAGCCAAGTCTCACAGTGGCAGCAGAGCCCCATTTGCACCACATCTCCTGGACACTGGGGACAGAGAGCTGGACCACAACAGCAGCCACACCATCCCCAGAGCTCCTCCTGCATTCACTGTGGCAGGAAAAGCCCACTGGGAGCAGGGCTGGACTATCACAGCTGCATCCCTCATGGATTTCTCTTCCTCCATCTCCAGAAGCAGATGCTGCATTTGCTCCAGTCCCCCAGAAATCAGCAGCTTTGCTCCCAAACCAGCTGTGACAGCAGCAGTGCCAAGGCAGCCCCTGCAGGGCTCCTGGCCTGACACCATCCTCCCCAGGGACACCGCCAGAGGCACTGCCAGAGGCAGGGACAGCTCTGCAGAGGTGTCCCTGAGCCACAGGGACCTTCCTGCCCTCAGTGCTGCCCTACCCAGGCAGAGCTCAGGGGGACCTTGAAAACAGGAGGTATCACCCCAAAGCCCAAAATCCTTCTGATCTCTGCACAGTTTGAAGGTTGCCACTGGTGGCAGCCATGGGGGCTCCTGAGGAGCTGCTCTGTTCTCATTGTTCCTTTTCCTGGCTCCAGCACTGGCACCTGGCACAGCTCTGCTGGCACCCAGGCTGTGCTGGCCCTTCCTTCCCACCCCACATCCCCTTGGCCGGACTGTGGCCACTGCAAAACAAGCTGCCTCTTGCTGAGCTGGAGTAGTTTTGAAGGCTTTGCAAATCAGATTCGTGGCCAGGCTGATATTTCCAGCTTAATTTGTCTGTTCACAGAGCACAGACACTGGGTTTTTTCCCTAAATAGCCCTAGTATCAAATGACTGGTAAGCCAAGCTAATGGATCAGTTCTCCCTTACCAGAAGTAGCTGATTTTCCCAGCTCCTGCCTCCCACTGCTCTGGCATCCCCAGAGAGCTCTGTCCTGACAAACCAGCCTGAACACAGCCCCAGGTGCAGCTCTGCCAGCTCAGGCTCCTGCCCAGCCCTGTGTGCCCACCCTGCCCCAGGCACCATCCCCTGTCCCCCTGGGAGCTCCTTCCCCACGCTGCTCCTTCCTGCATTTCACACCAGGTTTGCTTTAAAATTGCATCCTGGGCACTTTACACCTTGTTGGGATGGGCATGGTGCTATAAACTCAATTTAAAATGCTTGATAGTGGCTGTCATGCTCCTTTTCTCCCTCCTCCCACACCCCACCAGTGGGGCTTCCATTAGCTTTGGCAAGCCAAGAAAACCTCCTTTGTCACAGGTTTGGATGGTTCTCCACAGAACTCAAAGAGATTTTGGCTACTGAGGCACAGAAAAGCCTTTGAAAGAGATGTGATCTCTTCTGGAGTACTTTTTCACCTGCCCAGTGGCTGGGCTCCTTCCACAGCTCAGGGAGCAGATGCTCCAGGGCTTTGCTCTGAGCCACAACCACGAACAGGCTGGGCTGGGGAGGGCAAGCAGCACCACCCCTGAAAGCCCAGCCAGCCCAGAGCTCCTGTCACGATGGAGTGATGCCACCAAGATGTCCCTTTGTAGGATGCTCAGATTGGAAACGTCCCTGCAGAGCTTCACCCTGGATGCTCCCCAGCCTGTGGCAGGATTCAGCTGAGCACAGAGCCACATCAGCAGCCCCATGCCATGGATTCCAGCAGGGTCCCCGTGGCTGGGCACGGGGTTGTGCCACCGAGATGCACCACAGGACAGCAGGAGCGGCCGAGCGCCGTCACCTCCGTGAATCAGCTGCCCGGGGCTGTGTGCAGAGTGAGAGCTTTGGTCGGTAACCAGGTTCTCAGGCTTTGTGTGCTGCTGTTGCTATTTTAGTCTGCCTGAAATGTGCAGGAAAGGGAACCTGGAGGCTCTGTCTCCCGCGGAGATGTTTGTGCTGACCCAGTTTGGGAGGCTGCAGAGCCACGGCCGCGTCTCCCTGCTCCAGGACCGGGCAGCGCCGGCTCCGGCCATGCCGCGGCTCCAAGGACTCCTGCCCTGGAACCAGGCACCCACACAGGGACTGAGACATGGGGCAGGAGCTGCCCCACCACCCTGCACCAGCCAAGGGAGGGATTCCAGGGGTTTTACCCCCAAAATCCCCATCTGCAGCACTTAGAGCTCTTCAGACACTCAGCACTGGGTTTTCTCTTCTCCCAGAGCAGCATCACTCACCAACAGCCCAAACCCAGCCCCTGGGACACAAGATGTCCCTGCAGAGACTGCCACTGTCCCAGAGAGCTCCGTGGGGCAGCCCCAGCCCCAGGGGAGGTGGATGAGGGTGTTCATGACAGCCCCACAGAGCCTCAGAGCCCTGCACACACACAAACCTCTGCCAGAGCTGCTGGGACAGCGCTCCCAGGCCAGGCTGGAGCTGCTCAGTATGGGAAAAGTGCCGGGGCTATCTCACTGGGCATGAAAACAGCACTCCCCAAATGACCCCTCTGTGCTTTGGGGACACCTGTGGGGTCAGGATCAAACACCTGAGCCCACCCAAGGGCACAGAAGGGGAAAACCTCTGTCCCACTGCTCCCGTGACCATTTCATCAGCACCCAGAGGACACAGCTCGAAGCTCTCCCTCTGCTCCCAGCCCTGCCCCAGAGGTGAGCTCTCAGAGCAGACTGGCCACGGGGCTGCAGAGCCTCAGCTGTCCAAACACCCAAACAGAGATGCTGGGAGGTGTCAGCCCAGCCTGCCGCAGCTCCAGCCAGCGGAAGCAAATGCAGCCTCTGATCCCCAGGCAGGGCAGGAAGCTGCAGACACAGCAGTGCCTGAATACAAACTCACTCCTCACCTGGCAAACAAACAGCCTCCTGCACAGGCAGGAGCATCACTGAGCAAAGCCCCACATTCCGTGCTCCGGGCAGGAATTCCCAGCTCCCGCGCCACTCTCTTACCTTGCTCTCCGTAGGAGCCGCTGCCGGATGCTGCTGCTTGGTGATGTTCTCAGCCAGACACCAGCAGATCCTCTTCTTCTGCTCCTGGGAGTAAGCCTCCAAACTTAATAAGCACTCCGACTTCTGACGTAAAGGAAGCAGGGAGAAGGTCATTAGCTGTGTGTCGCAGGCCCTGCCTGGGTTTGCAAACTCCTTGCTCCCCACACACCACGGCACACCAGGGGAGAGCTCACACCTGTGGCCTGCACCAGGAGAGGAAAAGAGACTGGAAATCAGCTCCTCCAGAGCCAGGGAGAGTGCTGCAGGGGAGCTGCCTGTGCAGCAGCGGCAGAGCACATCAGTCCTGCACCCTGTGCCACTGCAGGGGAAACCAAGGGTGGAAACTGCTCTTTGCCATATGCAAACATTAGTGAGGCAGCAGAGCATGAACTGGTGAGAACAGGAGCCTTTGGGCTGGCTGGGGCTGGGAGGAAGAGTTCAGGGAAGCTCCAGAGCAGCCTCCCCATCCTGCTCTTCACTTAACACACACCAGGATGAATTTGGGATAAAACTCCAGAGCAGCCTCCCCGTCCTGCTCCTCACTTAACACACACCAGGATGAATTTGGGATAAAACTCCAGAGCAGCCTCCCTGTCCTGCTCCTCACTTAACACACACCAGGATGAATTTGGGATAAAACTCCAGAGCAGCCTCCCCATCCTGCTCTTCACTTAACACACACCAGGATGAATCTGGGGATGAAGCTCCAGCTCTGGTCTCACACTGTCTGTTAGCAACATGCAGCAAGGAAGGAATTAAGAGAAATGATGGGAAGTCATCCCAGGTGAGCCCACCTCTTCTTGTGTCCTCCCCTGCACACATCTTCTGTTGTCTTGGACAGGTTTTCTTTGGGCCAAATCTCACTCACTTAAGGAACTTTCTGACCAAGTTCTCTCAGCAGCTGTCTCCCAGCCCTTCAGCTGCTTATCTCTCATGTTAAAAATGAAGCACTAACTTCTGCTGTCTGCTGGGATTTTGCACCTTTCACTTTATAAAGGGTCCAGAAATTCCCAAGGTTGGATCATCTCCTTACGTGGCCAGATGGGAATAGAAAAAAATTTAAAAATAGAAGTACAACTTTAGGACAGACTGCAAAGAAAGGAAAAAGAGTTGTTCACTAAGGGCCATAAAAAAACCCTTTTCTTTTCCCCTAGAATTTCCTTCCAGAAGGGCAGGTCCCCAATAGTTGTTTTTTCCCAAAAAGGTCAGAGAGAACCTGCAGCTTTGTGACCCCAGAGACATAACACAGCCAGAAGGGGAAATGCTCTTTAGTCACACCATTTAAATCACTGTTTGCATTGGATGGGAATTCATTCATGCTTCATCCAAAATCCTCTAAAGTGGTAAATAAACCCAGCTCCCACATCACCTCCTGGGAAAGAGGGCTCTGGTTCAGTCCTTTGCCCCTATGAGACTTCCATGAAAGACAAAGTTTGAGCTTTCTTATGCCTGGACATCCCCACTCTTATTCCTACAGGCTTGAACACTGAAAATTCCTTTTCAGGCTTCCTGAACACAGTCAGAGTGAACAGAGGTTTGTGGTTCAGGGACAGGAGGTGGCAGGGCTCCCCCTTGTCCCCAGATCCTGGGTGGCAGTGATGCTCTGAGCATCCCTGGAGTGTCACAGTGAGTTTTTCCCATCCTGGATGTCCCAGTCTCCCCCAGTCCCACACCAGGCTGGACCCCTGTGCCACCCACTCATCCCTGGGAAGTCATTCCCACTTTCAGAGGAGAGGATGAGAACCCATTTGCTGGGATGGAATCCAGGCTGGCATTTCCCTGCCCCACACTTGTGGTCAGAAGAGAACAGAGCAAGACCTCAGCCCCAGCTGTGAGGAGCCCACCCTGCTGCTGTGGCTGCTGTACACTCCCAGCCCTGCCAGGCTCCTGAGATTCCCCTGGAGCGAGGCTTAAAGCAATTCCAAGGACATCTCACATCCCCTGGCTGTGACAGACACAGAGCTCACCTAGCCCTGCCCTGAGCCCCTCACTGATTCAATTACAGCCCATCTCCTTGATTGGATTTAGCACACAGCCTGCTCAGCTCCCACTGAGCTGGGAGCAAAGCGCCCCTCTGCTCCCTCCTGCTCCCCCTCAGCTGCTGCAGCTCCCTGACCTCGGCCACAGCAATTCCACAGCCAGGAGAGCAGATTTCCCTCTGCTGCAGAGCTCAGGGAAAGGGATCCACACACCCCAGGTGTGTCCCAGGTATTGTGGGCAAGGCTGAGGGGAGGCATGAACAGCCAAAATTGCATTTATCCAACATGTACGTATTTAATTATCACTTTGTTCCTCCACAGTGACATTGAACCTCTCCAAAGTACATTCCCCAAGGAAAGAGCTCTGGTTTTCCCTCTTCCATCAACCTGCTCCCTGCCCGGGCTCCTCTCTGCACAGGGTTGATGGCAGGGTGGTTTGGGGACAGGGCTCCAGTCCAGCCCAGCCCTGCCAGCCCCTGGCCTCCAGCGCTCCGGGTGTTGGGCCATGGCCAAGGCCAGCAGAGATCCCAGAGGGGAAGTACCTCGGAAACTGCTCCAGACTACAATGGCTCCAAATCACAGAGCAAACCTTCCCCAGGAGAAACAGCCAGCCCTGGGAATATCCTGTGCACAAAACACGGGCAGCTGCTGCCTGCTGACTTCATGCACCACCAACCAAGGGCTGCTGAGAAAGTTCTGTTGGCTCCCGTGCTGGGGGCAGTGGGGGGACCACAGCTCTTCCTGTGGCTCTGGTGATGCCCATAAAACAAACCCTGGCAGTAAAACAGAGCCCTGACAGAGCTGGGGTGCCAGGGGTGCTGCAGGAGAGGATGAGCATGGAGATAACGCTGGCAGGACACAGCAATCTCTGCACGGCTCTGCTGTGGGTGGTGTTTTTGGGAGCACTGATGATGGCATGGCCTGGGGGATGCCCAGAGGGTGTGGATGCCACATCCCTGGAAGTGTCCAAGGCCAGGGACAGGAGCCTGAAGAACCTGACCTAGGGAGTGACATCCTGGCCATGGCAGGGGTGGAACAAGATGATCTTTAAGGTCCCTTCCAACCCAAACCATTCTGTTATCCTGTTAAACCTCCAGGAGGAAAATCAGCCTGAAGAACCTTTTCCACCTGCTGTGGAGCAGCCAGGAGGGACACAGGGCTGTTTCCCCAGGCCAGACACTTGTCCTGAAGTGGCTCATCAGGTAAAAGCCTTCACAAGAACCCCTGAGAGGAGCCAGGCACGGAGCTCCTGCTGCAAACACCGCCCTGGCAGAGAGAGCAGGGCCAGCACTGCAAACATCCTTTCCTCTCAGGGAAAACACCCCAGAGCTGAGTGGCCCCAGCAAAACCCAGCTCACTCACCCAGGGCCAGCACAGCTGCCCTGTGCCCAGGCTCTGGCTGATGTCCTGCTACTGGTGTCACTCGACATCTGAGCCAGGGAAACGCCCTGGGCAGAGCAGGCACAGCTCAGAACCTGTCTGCACCACGCAGCAGCCTGGCCACCAACTCCAGAGCCACTGCCATGGGTGCTCCAGCTCCAGGGACATCCCAGGAGACAGCCTGGACAGGGGGACATTTCTGCAGCTGGAATTTGGGATGCTGGGTTGGGCAGTTCCAGAGCACCCTCAGCACCTGGGGCAATGTGCACATGGTTTGTGTCACTGCATCCTCCAGAGGGGCTTTTCCAAAGGCTGGCATTGCTCTAATGTTGTCTCGCTGCACCTGCAGCTTGGGCTGCTCAGCAGCACCCAGAGAAATGCAGGGGCTGGGACCTGGTGGCCTTTGGAGGGAGGAAAATGGAAAGCTCAGTTCAGGAAAGAGTTAAGGTGCTGCTGTGAGTGTGACATGGCAGAGGGTCTGAGTGTCCAGCTCCCACGTGAGCTGGGTGACTCAAGGCTTGGGGAACCTCTCTGGCATCCCAGCAATGAGCCACAGAGGAAACAGAGGAAATGTCAGAGAGCAGGAAAGGATTTTTCATCTGGTAACATCTCCTGGCCAGCAGCAGCAGAATGGCTGGAGCCAAGGGAGTCCCCCCTTCCACTGAGCAGGACTGGCAAGGGAGCAAGGAAGGCAGAGGTGCACAATTCTGTCCTCTCAGAACGTTCATACCACAAAACTGGTGAGAGCCAGGAGTGTGCAGACTCTACCTCAAGTCCTTGGATGGATCCAAGCCCTTGCAGCCTTGCCTGCAGTGCCTTCTCCCCCACAGCCCAGGGGATCCTTCCCCCTGTGCCCATCAGACAAATCACAGCCACAAACCTGACAATCTCTTGTCCTATTGTGAATGAGAGGAAATTGAGAAACAATTCCAGCAGAGCACACAGCCCATTTCCCAGACAAAGGCTCATCTCCACTCCCTTCTCACTAAACAAACTCCCCTCAGTTGTTCACTTGGTCACGTAGGTTTGCTGTCACCCCCTGCCCAGCCCCTTTGCCCTCTTCCCTATCACCAAAACATCTGCCCAGGTGCCCTCTTGGTCTGCCAAAACAGTGCCCAAAATGCTCCTTGCAAACTCTCCTGATGATGTTTCCAGAACAGCCAGCTCCAAATTACCCAGGAGTACAAAATCTGCCATGTCCCAGAGCGTCCCTGAGACTTGGCCCCTGTGCCATCAGTAAATTGCTTTTCCCAGCACTCAGATTTGCTGTTTGGAACAACAGAACCTGGGCTCTCCCTGTCTCCTCCCTCTGGGACAATGCCACATCCCAAAGGGCATTCAGTGAGCAGCGCTGATCCCAGCAGGAGCAGAGAACTCTTTGGGAAAGGAACGCTCCTGTGGAATAATCTGGGACATGGATGGGGAGAAGCACATCACCCAGGCCACAGCGTTCCTGCAATCCATTTGTCCAAAGCATTCCGTGGCAGCAGCTGAGGGTGGCAGCAGGAGCAGGGGCCACAGGGACCCTCTGGTGCAGGGATGTGTCCACACAGAACCCGAGCAGCTGTGGCTGCCCCATCCCTGCAAGGCCCTGCTCTGGTGATGGCATCCCTGGCCATGGGAGGGGTGGGACAAGATGATCTTTAAACCTTCCAACCCAAACCAGTCTGGGATTCTCTGATGGGGCAAGGTGGGGACATTTCTCTGGCATTTGTCCAGAGGCTCTCCTGTGAATGTCCAAGGCAAAGCCAGCTCAGGCACAGATTCACAGCATCAATTTGCTCAGCTCTGGATGAGTGCTCACCACAGCAGCACAAGGAGCTGCTGCTGGAAGGATTTTCTGTTGGAGAAGTTTCCCAAGACAAACTCTGGTGTCTGCAGAGGAAAACTTCCAGGGGAAAAAAAAAAGATCAAATTTGCCATTTGCTTTTCAAAGGAAAAACTTACTGAGCTGTTTGGTTTTAAGTCGATTTGGTCTGAATATGTTGGGTTTGAATCAAACACTTGTAACAATGCATTAAACCCCTGACCTGCAGTTTCCTGTCAGCAGGATATTTCCAGAGCAGGGAAGGGTGTGAATTCAGCACACTCACAGCTCCACATGGCTCCCTGTGAGGCTGCCCATTCCCAGCAGGCAGCAAACCCTTCCTTCTGACAGCTTTTACACATCCCACGGGGTGTGTGTCCTGCAGGGAATGGTGTGGGATAGGGAAATGGAGACAAACTCCCACAAATCCCAAATCCTGTGGGGTGCAGAAATGTGGGTCCACACTGAATCCCAGAATCCCAGACTGGTTTGGGTTAGAAGGGACCTTAAAGCTCATCCCATTCCACACCTTTCCATGGCAGGGACACCTTCCACCATCCCAAGTTGCTCCAAGCCCTGTCCAACACTTGTTCACTGCCAGGGATGGGGCAGCCACAGCCTCCCTGGGCTCCCTGCACCTATTGCAGTGCTCAAATCAGCCAGAAACTGTCACAGGCAGGGGCTGTTCAAACTCTGCTCTTTGAAAGAACAGAGGAGACAAGGAAGGAACAGGAGGGCAGGAACAAGAGAGGATGAGGATTCTGCAGTGAGTCGTGCCCTGGCCCAGCTCCAGCCACTCAAGGTGAACAACTTCCATCCTGAGCATTTGCACCCGACTTTCACAATGGTTCTTTATTCCAATGTTTGCCTTTCTCCTCTGTGCCCTGGGGAGCTTTCCCAGACCCACCTTTCCACCTCGGAAAATACAAGGACTTTACACAGTAAAGTCACTGGAAAAGGGAAAAACCCACAGCTTTCAATGCTTAAGGAGGTGCAGTGTGAACCCATTTTGCAGAGTCCTTTACTTGACAAAAAGGACTGAGCCAATGTCTGGGTGACCCCAAATCTGGTTACAGCACTTAGCTACATGTGGGTTCAGAGCTATGATTCTGTCTTTCAGACTGGGCTTCCTTATTTTATTTGAGGGCTCCAAACCTGGATGTTTGAAGACAAGAAAAGCAAGGTGCCTAAAAATAATGACAAAACATTTGGCAAAGAAATCTGCCCCCAGGGGAAAGAATCCTAAGAGAAAATAAAAGTGAAATGTCTCAAGGAAGATCCACAGGGAGGAGGAGAAAAGAAACCTGTCCTAGTGCTGCCCAAGCTCCTTTTAGCAGCTTCTTATTCATATATTCTACAGCCATTATGTTTCTTTTCCAGGCTTCTGGCAAATTCATTTAAAGGGAAGTTAAAATCAGCTTTTTCAGTGCTCCTTGCCCCAAAAGAAAGGATCAGAGCTGTCAGTACCTGTGCAGCTCTCACTGGAAAGCTAAAGTGGAAAACAGCAGCACTCACCTCTGCCAGGTAAAGGATGCAGAACTTGCGATCTTCTGAACCTGCAGAGAAGAAAAACCAGGATCAGAGCGAAGCTGCAGCTGCATCTCTGCAAGTGGAGCCACTGGCAGAGGAGCTGGCCAAGGGACAGCACTGAATGGATGTTTGTTGTTGTCCCCAGTACCAGGCTGTGACCTGGGTGATGTATGTGGCATCTGCCGGGGCCGGGCGCGGGCAGGATCCTGGGTTTCCTTCTCTTCCTCATGTGCTGTGGTGGGGCCTGGCTTGGCTTCCAGAGTAATGTCAACTGTGCCTGTGCCATCCACAAGCCCTGGCTGCTCCCCAGCATCCCAGGAAAGGACAAAATGCCCATAAATCCCCTCTTGGCCCTTGAGCACCCTGGAGCTGCACAGTACAGCAGGCTGGGATGTCAAGGCCAGTGACACAGCACATGAGGAGCCCTTGTTTGCAGGATCCCAGCTGGGAATGGGTTCTCAGCATAGGGGGGGGATAAAGGAATCTCCTCTCTGTCCCAAAGCTGAGCACACCCGCCCGGAGGGGAACCAGGATCCCGGAGCGTGGAAATTCCCACAGTGTGTGCTGAGGAAGGCAGCCCTGTGTCACTGGAACCTTGGCTGGCGTGGTGCTCATCAGCCTGCTGCTGCTGCTGCCTTGTAAAGCAGGAAGAGAGAGCATTGTGAAGCAGATCAGACTGATTTGCTTTCGCACAGAGCAGCAAGCGGCAGGAACAGGAAACAGCACAATGGCCCTGAGCGCACCGGAGATGTCTCAATTGTTGGAGGCAGCCACACGCCTGTTCCTATTCATGTGCCATTCAGTCACTCAGGAGAGCAGCAGCAAACCCCTGCCAAAAGGGACAGACATCTTCTTGCTCTCTCCCCCCGCCTCTGGAGCAGGAGGGCTGGAGCTGCAGCTGTGCTGGATTCCCAGAGCACAGGGTCAGTGCTGGGGACTCCATCTCCTCTGGAGAGCCTCGGGAACCTATTCCAGACACGACCCAGCCAAGTTATTATGGCAACAAGGAAATAAAGTGGCAGAAAACCGCTGACAAATGCACGGTGCCTGAGGTGAGGAGGCACAATCCTGTGCTGCTGCAGACAGAGCTCGGTGTGCAGAGCCAGGAGCAGCACCAGGGAAGATGATTTCTCCAAGCAGGTGAAAAGAGCAGAGCTATTCCCCAGCCTTTGGCAGCACACACACGTGGTCCAGAAGCTGACCAAAAGCACTTTAACAAGGAACAATTTCTTTTGTCCCTTTCTTAGAAATAAGCAGTGCTGAGAACACACTCGACAAAGCCCAGGGAGGCTTCAATGGCTTTTCTCAATGGGTCGTGGCTGTGGTGCCCCATCTCCCTCCCTTGTGTTTCTGCTGCCACCAAATAGGTCAGGGAATTCATCTGGAAACAGAAACGTTGCTGGAAATGGGAAATAACAACTGACAGGCAGCTGTGGTCACCAGCACTGAGGCTCAGAACAACGTGGGGCACGTGCAGAGACACAGTCCATCCACAGAGCTCATGGCTCAGCTGGAAAAAGTCATGGGAAGCAGCAAAATTCACCCAGAAAAGGATCCCTTTGGAGAAACAGCCCAGATCTGGATTCTTTCCTCTTGGTCAGGGCCACAGGACTGCCTAAAGACATCGGCTCACCACTTCCAGAGTAATTTGGGTTGGAAGGAGCCTCTCTGGTGGGCTCTGGAGTCCAATCCCCTGATGAAAGCCCAGACCAGGGCACTCAGGAGTCCTGAACGCCTCCAGGCATGGAGATCCCACAACCTCTCTGGGCAACTCAGTATCTGACCAACCTCAAAGTTTTTCCTTCTATCTCATCCTCTCCATGGGGTCCCAGGGCTGGGCTGGATGAGGAGCTGTGGCACAATCAGGTCACTGCACATAAAACAATCCCTTACCCAAAAAACAACCTCAAGGAGCAAGGTGAAACTGGGCCCAGGGCCAAGAAGTGGCTCCACCGTAGCAAACAGGACGTGGCAGAGCAATTCCCTCATTCCTCTTTAGAGCAGGAGGAGATAAAGGGAGTCTTTAGTACAGCCTGAAATAACCAATTTCAAGTCACCCTGCCCTAGAAGCCCTCTCTGAGCTCTCAGCTGGACATGAAAGGTGGCAGCCAAGGTGCAGAGTGAGGGCAAGGTCCCCAGCCCTGCTCTGAGGGGTGAGCAGGGGATGGATGTGAGCAACAGAGAAACCGTGGGCGGCTGAAGAGAGAAGTAGCAAAGCAAAGCAGCAAAGTAAAGGTCATCAGAGCTTGGCCAGCCACCCTTGGAGCCAATCTCTGAACTCCCTGGAGGCGCCACAGAGGAAACCTCAAGCCTTCAGTTCCCTTTCCCAGCCCCGGGCAGTCCCTGCTGTCACAGCGTGACCCCAGCCAGGGGAACAGACCCCAGGGAATGGCAGCCCAAATCCTGAGACCTGCACCCAAAAAGGCTGGAAAGGGTCTGAGTGCTCCTGAGGTGTCCCAGGAGATGGAGCTCACAGGTTAGTGCAGAGATGATGCTGGCCCTGCACCCCAGCAAGGATGGCATTGGACAGCAGGCTGCTCTCCTGCTGCTGGCCAGAAACCTTTGCAGCCAGGAAACCCCAAAATGCCTCCAATCGCTGCTGCAGACACTCACCCTCCTGGAGCTTGACACTCTGCAGGTACAGAGGGTTCCTCAGCACATTGCAGCGCCCGGGCTCGTCCTCCTTGGTGAAGAGCAGCAGGTCGGAGTAGACAAAGAGAGTCACCTGCAAGCACAGGAGCAGCAAAGGAGAAGCTCTAGGGAGTTCATCTCTTGGCACTGAGAAATGTCCTGGAAATGTCCTCTGCCCTGGGGAGAGGCAGCAGCCTCGACAGGGAGCCCAGACAGCCCTTCCCGAGGGGCTCTGGATGAGGCTCCCCTCCCTCAGCCGCTTCCTGAGGCTCGTGGAGTCCTGTGACAGGAGGGATGAACCTGCCCCACACAAACACACCCTCTCTGCTCCCTCCTGCCACTTCCCGCTGACACCACTCACAGATCACAGCAGGAGGAGGGAATAAGTTGCCCACTAATCCCAGCATGCTGCAGAAGTTGCAGCCTGAGAGCAAATCTGGTCACTCTGATCACCCTCAGGGAGGAGCTTCTCGCTGTTCTCAGTGAGAAAGTTTGGTTTTCACAAGAGCAGGAGCAGCTGCAGGGGACAAACCTGACACCCCAAACAAGGAAACACTGGCCTGACTGTCTGCCCAGAGCTCCAGCACTGCCTGCAGTGTCCCAGGGGCTGGGAGCTCCTCCAGAGCAGTGGGAAAAGCCTTGCCTAAGGTCCCCGGTCCAATTGCTTCAGATTAATGGGACCTTGAAAATAAGAATGAGTTTCTCCACTGCACTGGACCCAGAAGCCTCCCAGGGATGAGAAGCTTGGTGCCACAGCTGAGGTGTGAGCCTCCAGGAGCTGGGGCACACAGAAAGCCTCAAAGATCACAGAATCCTGGAATCACAGAATATCCTGAGCAGGAGGGACCCCCAGGATCCCCCAGCCCTGCCCAGACCCCCCAACATCCCAGCCTGGGCCCATTCCCTGGGGAGCCTGGGCAGTGCCAGCAGCCTCTGGGGGAAGAACCTTGCCCTGCTCTGCAGCCTGAGCCTGGCCTGGCCCAGCTCCAGCCGTTCCCTGGGTCTGTCCCTGTCCCAGAGATGCCAGGGAGCAGCTGCAATGTGACAGTGGCACAGGGGGTGCCAGACCTGCTCAGGGCCTTGGGGTGCCCCCCAAAACCTCCCACAGCAAAGGGAAAGCTTTGCAACACTGAGCCCACAGCAAGGAAGGGTTTGTGGCCTTTTAGCACAGCTTTTGCAGAAGGAGGCAACACCCAGAGTCCCAAAGGGGTGGAGGGAGCAGAGAGGTGACTCTGCTCCCACAGGGACCAGGTCCCAGCTGCCAGCACAGCTTGTGTCCGTGGCTGATGGACACGTCCTGAGGAGGACAAGCTGGCTAACAGCTCAGGACAAGCACAGTTATCACACACTGGGGAGTCTCACATCAGGGAACAGCATCTGCCTCCGAATTCAGAACCAAGCCCTTTGCCACAAGATTTCTCCTCACAGTGCAAGTTCATTTTTGTGGGATTCTCAGCAAGTACAAAGCTGCTGGTGGAGCTTTAATTGACAATGAAACCAGGGAGGGGCTGTTCTTCTCTGTGTTATTTGGAAAATCCCTTCCTCTGCTGTCAACACTCTGCTGGCACAGTGTCCACATCCACTCTCCTCATTCCTTCTGATCTTGTTGGTAATACAAGGGACAACCAGATAGAAACTGCACTACAACCTTCACCCCAAGCCCACCTTGTGCCTAAATGTAACTTTTCTGGGGTGTGTCTGGTGCCATCTCAGTTCCCTCAACCCCAAAGAAGAGATGCTGAAGGGATTTTGGGAATAGAAACCCAAAGTGAAGGAGATAAAAGCATGATCAGATAACAGTCACACAGAAATGGAGGAAAGAAACCTGTGGAAAGGTAGAAAAAAGATTGGGAGCAGGAGGAAAATCACTTCAAAACCAAGCAAGTTTCAGTAGGGAATCTTGGAAGTGGGATTACACAACTAAGTATTTACAGGTAGCTTTGAGCTTTTCCAGGAAGATGGGACAGATTGTTTTTGGTATGTAGAAGGTAAAAGCACATTCATTGTGGTCTCTGTAAGAGTATTTCTATCAGATGCTGTTAACAAGAAGACACTTGGTCTGAGAGCAGCTGATAGAGGTCCCTGCTCCTCCAGGCTGTTGGAGGATCAAAAGTTCCCTTGCACCTGCAGAGGCAGCACCGCAGGGCCTGGGGCTCTGCCAGACCCAGAGGTGGGAGCTGGACACATCCCCCCACTCCAGGAGCTGAGGAGGGGACCAGGGGTGACCCCAGGGCAGCAGGGATGAGGGGACACTGGAGGAGAAACGTGGAGCTGCCATCACACCCTGACGGGCTGTGACCTGTCTGTAACAGCCCTTGGCAAACAGATCTGCCCTGAAAAATCACAGGGCTCACAAAAGCCAAGCGCAAACCAACAACAAACACAACCCCTGGGCTCACCCAGGCAAGTCACACAATTCACCAGAGCTCCTCCTTGGAGGCTCAAAGTAGCTTTGGGTGTTTACCAGAAGTAATTTCATACCCCAAAGTCAGAAATACAGAAAACAGAAATGTCAGAAAACAGAAATGTCAGGACAGAAGGACTCTCTGAAGACAGAGATGAGCACCCTGGAGTGACTGAGGTCCCATGGACCTTTTAGGGGGGGTGTGAACAGATTTTACAGGGGGGAAATGTTCACAGAGGCCGACCCTGATGTCTCCACACTGCTCATCTGGGTGTGCTCTGCACCACGGCAAAGCCTCCTCTGCTGAGGGACCTGACTGGAAAAGCACTGCCCAGGAGACAGGGACACGTTTAAAGAGTTTGCTGAGGGCAATCAGGAGAAGCTGGAAGGCCAGAGGGAAGGTGGGAGCAATGGGCTGCCCAAGAGGGGACAGCCCTGGGGCCTGGGCAGGAGGGAGCCAACATCACACCTGGGAAAGAAAAATGTGGCAACAAAATCACTGTGAAAAGGTGTCCAGAAATGCAGCCTTGAAGAGAGAAAGAGGAGAAAGCCTCCTGCTCTGCAGAGAAGATGATAAAGCCAGCCAAGCCCATCCATGAGGTTCCAGGGCTTCAGGAGGCCCATCCTGACCTGCAGACCCTGCCAGAGCGGAGAGAGGAGGGATGAGAAGGGCACGAGCGTGGCCCACACTGAGCAGACACCTCAGAGCTTTGGGAGGCCTCCAGGTCCACTGGAGATGGGTGGACAAGGCCAAAGGCCACGCTGGACACCTCGTGTGCCTTCTCCCGCTGGCTCCTCTGGCACTCCAGGGCCTGGAGGGATTTCAGGAGCCCATAAAAGCGGGAATTGCAGCAAAGTCTAGACAGGATGTGATTAAAGCCTGAATAAGGATTGCCCCAGAGGTAAGGTCAGGGAAAGGACAGACCCTGGCAAGCCTCCAGAGAGATAGGTTGAGTCCTTCAGGAGATGGGAGAGAGTTTGCTCAGGGACAAGGATGCAGTGCCTGATGTGGAAACTGCCACAGGGAAAAGATTCTTTTGGGAAAAATAGAAAAGAGCAGGACCTCCAGCTCCAGCCCCTGAACCCAGGCCCTCCTCTCTTGAGCCTCTCAGGTTAAGAACACACAGAGAACAGTCCTGCAAAGCACAGGAGCCCAGCTTGAGAGAGGCTGTGTGGGAAGAGCAGTGGGAGAACAGAAAACCCCATGGAGCAAGGAGGAAAGGATTGATGGGACACAAGAGAGCCTCTGCCCAGGTGTCAGAGAGGGAGAGAGCTCAAGAGCAGCAAAGAGAGGAGTCAGAGCCCTCCTGCCCCAGGGAAGCTCTGTTGTGTCCAGGCTGTTTTAGCTCCTGCTGGCTCCAGAGTTCAGTTCTCTCCCCTCACAGCCCTGCTCTGCTGGACAGTGAGATCCTGGCACTCCAGAGAGACCTGCAGGGCTTCCTTGGAGCTCCACAAAGCCTTCCATGGCCGTGCCACACACTCAGACATGAGAGAGCCCTTCCCAAGGGCCACGGGTGACATTGGCACTGTCACTGCCAGCACGGGCTCAGCACCACGGAGTGTTTCCCTTCACCACCTCTCATTTCTCAGCCCACTGACTCAGCTCCTCCTGCCCTGCCCCTGTGCCAGCTCACCCAGACACCACAGCCCCAGGGCACCAGCATTCCCAAACGCTGCCTCACAGCCCTGGCCAGCATCCTGCCCTTTCCTGCCACCAGCTCCAGCTGGGAAATCTCTCCCAGCTCCAGGCTCATCCCAAGAGCCTCCTAAGCATCGTTTCCCTGAGACATTTCCCTCCTGACCCTGTGCGCAGTGGGGTCTCTGCTCTTCACAGCAGGCCCCACCCAGGCTGCAAACAGCGTTAGTTATCCATAAATATTCCACATTTGGCTGCTACTCCAAATATCTGAGTGTGACCTGGAGGCAGGTACCTCCAACCCAGCCAGGAGGAGCTCCCTGACTCCAGCTGTAACCCCAAGCCATCCAGCACAGCTCCCAAGCACTTTTACCTGGCTTTCATTCCTGCTCTTCCTTCAGAAGAGCCTGAGCAGCACAGGACAGCGGGACAGACAGGCAAAGGGGTTTAGTTACAAGTTACTGCCAAGTTCTCTAATCAATCGTGGAATTTTTCATGTACTTTGAGGTGTTCTCATGTACTTTTTGGCAGGAAAAAAAAAAGTGGTTCAAGTCAAAGCAAGGGATGAATTACATCATGGAAACCAGAAAGAGGGGAGTCACTTAGCACAACCCTCTACTGGTTTGTACTGGCCAGTGATGGGAAGTGGCTCTGGGCTCCTGCTATTGGCCACCCAGAGACTAAAACGAGTCAAGTAGAACTTCCTCTACAGATCTGTGAAGATGACACATTGTTCACTCCAGCTGAATTCAAGCCCAAATTACTCTGTGAGATCCTCTGAAACTGGTTAGCAGAGCATGAGTGGGCTCTGCCTTGCTCCCAAATCCCAAGGCTTTGCAGACTTTGCAGTTGGATGCAAGGGAAGCCAGCAGCAAATGTAATCAACACATCCAAACTCTGCCAGTTTGGATGGTAAAAGTTGTCTCATCCACAGGGTGACAAAGTCCTGTTGTGTCCCCAGATTCCCAACAGCTCTCTAATAACATGCAGAAAAACTGAAGTAAAAAGAATGAGAGGAATTTGGACAGGACACGTGAGCTGTTTTGGGAACTGAAATTCTGAGAACATCTGTAGCAAGTTCTCTGTCTGCTTCTAGTTCTAGGTTGTGGATTCTCCTTCCCTGGAGATGCTGCAAAGCCATATGGGCACAATCCAGAGTGACTTCAGGGCATCCTGAACAAGGGGATGGGACTGGGTGACTTCCAGTGGCACTTTTCAGCCTGAACCATTCTGTCATTCTGTCTTCTCTAACCTAGCACAAAACATCCTTAAACCCCCTCCCCCTGAGTCTGCTGGGCTGTCACTGGTGTGAATTTTCCACCTGCAGTTTCCTCTCTGTGAGCCCAAAGGCAACAGGAACAACAGCTGATTTCTAGCACAGTAGAGTTTTGATATTTATCCCACAATAAAATGATCACAAATCTTTGCAAGTATCACAGCAATATAATTACTGCACAGTGGAACATCTCCCTTCTCAATGTAAAGAAGTGACCCTTCCAGCCCCTTCTCAAAGTCCCCTCCAGGGCCTGAAGGGGCTCCAGGAGAGCTGGAGAGGGACTGGGGACAAGGGATGGAGGGACAGGACACAGGGAATGGCTCCCAGTGCCAGAGGGCAGGGCTGGATGGGATATTGGGCAGGAATTGTTCCCTGGCAGGGTGGGCAGTGCCCTGGCACAGGGTGCCCAGAGCAGCTGGGGCTGTCCCTGGATCCCTGGCAGTGCCCAAGGCCAGGCTGGATGGGATTTGGATCACCCTGGGACACTGGGAGGTGTCCCTGCCATGGCTGGGGTGGCACTGGATGGGTTTAAGGTCCCTTCCCACCCAAAGCATGGTGATTCTATGATTCAATCCTCTATGTAAGACAGCAGAAGAGCAGGTTTGGAGAGCTCAGACAAGGTGGAAGAGTTTTACCTGTGTAGTCCTGTTCCTGCTCTCGTGAAGGAGCAGCTCCTCTGACAGCAGCAGAGTCCGGGCTGGGTTGCAAAGATCCAGGGGCTAAGTTTGGATGGGAAAAAAAAAATAAAATGAAACAAAAGAAACAGTCACACCTTCCAGTGTGGTTTGTGAGATACACTTTCCACCCACCAAAGCCACTTTGCCGTCACTTTGAGCTGTAACTCACTGGGGGAGAAGCCACCCCGCACTGTGCTCAGGACACAAAGTCTGCAGTCCAGTCAGAGGAGCAAACAAAGCCTTGCACTCACACCCACATCAGCCCCAGCTCTGAAAGGACAAGCAGCCCTTGCATTTCTCCTGCACGGCTGGTGTCAGCAGGAAGCACAACCACGCCGCTGGCACGGCAGGTTCCACGTCCCCCAGGCACCAATATTTGTCCCTGCTGCTGTGCATCACTCTCAGAGCAACTTCTGAGAATTCCTGTCCTTCCCATGCCACATCAGCTCCCCAGTCAGTGCTGGAGAATGAAAGGTTCACACGTGGCCCAAGTGCAGAGCAAACCCTGCAGCAGCAGCCTGGGATCACCCTGGGAGCAGCACGGTGGGAACAGGAGGGGATCTGCACACACAGGGCAGTGCACAGAGAAACACCAGCTCCTGCAGACTCCCAGGTGAACTCCAAGCTTTGGGAATAAGGAGGCAGAAAGTGCCAGAGGTGTTCCTACCAAAGGCCACCCATGCCGAGCCCAGGCAGGTGAACACAAGCTGAGGGCTCACCCAGCTGCCTGCAGGGAGGAGGGAGGTGATCAAACACCTTCCCCCAGCTCCAGCCCAGCCCACACTGGCCTCAGGCTGCCCATGGCTCAGGCTGCAGTGACAGGGAACGTGGACCATGCTTTCAGCCCAGAGGAAGTGACCAGGCTGAGCTGAGGTGACAATGCCACTGCCATGGCAGGACAAAGGGCTCCCCACGGGCTCAGAAAGGAAAGGATTCATCAGCAACGTATTAAAATACGTGGAGCAGATGAGATTTTTGGGGTTCTGGCCATATGAAGGACAAAGTGAAGGACACAGAGGGAGTTAGAACTACTACCACCAAATTCAGGGCTGTTTTCTTTAAACAGATCATGGAACTGCAGAGGCAGAACATTCCCTGTCAAGACATTGCTGCTCTGAATCCTTGTTCTCTGCTCTGGAGCCAGGCTGGGACAGCTGAGGGAGAAGAGAAGGCTCCAGGAGAGCTCAGAGCCCCTTCCAGAGCCTAAAGGGGCTCCAGGAGAGCTGGAGAGGGACTGGGGACAAGGGATGGAGGGACAGGAGCCAGGGAATGGCTCCCAGTGCCAGAGGACAGGGCTGGATGGGATATTGGGATATTGGGGTATTGGGCAGGAATTGTTCCCTGGCAGGGTGGGGACAGCACAGGTTGCCCAAATTTTAGTGTGGCCACCAGCTAAAGTAAAACCCCTTTGATTGCACACACTGACAGCACAAAGCCTCAAGCAGAGCCACACTGATCTGCAATTCCAAAGTTAGCTCTGAAGGCCAAAAGCTGAGACACCTCCTCCTGACCCAAGCAAGTACCAAGGGCCAGATCTGAGAGCTGTAAAGGAGAAAAAAACCCAAGATAGAATTGCTTGGGCAGGACACAATTCCCTTTGAGACAGCCCCAGCACTGTGCCAAGCACAGCCAGCTCCAGAGGAGAGCTGAGGACGCCAGGGATCCTGCTGGGAAGGAGATCCTTGCATGGCCCCAGCCATGATCACACCCCAGCCCCCCCAGCTGCACTGACCTGCACAAAGATGGGGAACACCAGCACTTTGGGAGCCAGGGTCACGTAGGTGCCGTAGGAATGGGGGATGTGAGGCCTCACTATGGTGCAGTTCTGGTAGTTCCCATAGCTCTTCATGGTCTGCACTGTCTTCATCAGCCTGGATTTCCTCCCAGAGCCCGTGTGGGATTTCCCTTTACAGCCATTCCCTGCGTGGACAGAGGAGGCAGAAGGAAACACAGAATGAGGAGGGAGCTCCAGCTCTGCCCACTCCAGCTCAGTCCTGCTTTCCCAGGCTGGAGGAGGGCATGGAAATCCTGGGGAATTGCTGGAGCCCAGAGCACTGCCCAGGTGTCCCAGGGACTCATGAAATAACAGCAGTGATTCCATTTTTTCTAACAGGAAACAAGATGCCCCTGGGTGGTTTTGCTCCAGAGCCACTTGCTCGGTGCTGCCAGGACTTCAGTGGGTGCCAGCAGCAGCACAGACACGGCTGGGAAGGTTCAAACAGGACCCCAGGGAGGCCACAGCAAGCTCTGCTTCAGGCCAGCACATCCCACCAGGTGCTCTGCCCTCTGATCTGCCCTCCTGAGAGCACCTGCAGTGCTCTGCCCCACTCCAGGGCCCAGCACAGGCAGGACCTGGAGCTGCTGGAGAGACCCAGAGGAGACACCAAGATGCTCCCAAGGCTGGAGCCCCTCTGGAGCCAGGCTGGGAGAGCTGGGGGGGCTCACCTGGGGAGGAGAAGCTCCAGGGAGAGCTCAGAGCCCCTGGCAGGGCCTGAAGGGGCTCCAGGAGAGCTGGAGAGGGACTTCAGCATTTTTATTCACACAAGTCCTGCCTGCTCTGGATTCTGGGTGTGGAAGTTGGCAGAGTGCAGGAATGTCATGACATGGGGCAGTGGGTTAATCACAGTTCTCAGGAGACACCAAGAGTGGAGGTGTCAGAGAAGGAGGCAGAAGTTACAAAAGCACATTCATGGCTGGGATCAATCCCTGCTGCTGCCAGAGATGGTTTTTCAGACATTGGGTGTATTTATAAAGGATGACCTCACTGTTCATGAGGCTGGCATCACATCATCCTCTGTTTTTCAGCATTACATTCTGGGGCTGGGAAAGGTCCGAGCAGCCTGACTGCTTTCCAGTCTGCCCCTTTTCCCTGAAGAGAGTTACCCTGACTCAGAGGAGGCTTTTTCCTGCACACTCCCAGCTCAGCTGCTCAAGCAGAGCCCACACCACATCCTGCTGGACACCAGCAACCTGTGCTCTGCCCTAAAACTCACAGGCAGCGGATCCAACAGGAACTGAATGCTCTCTAACCAAAAATTCACACCTCCAAAAGAAACCCCACTGAAAAATCGATGCATTTCCTTCCTCACTCCTCCTGTATCCAGCTTGGGGCTGCAGGCAGAGCTCTCCACTGGGATTGAACATATCCAGGTGAGGAGCTGGAGCATTCTCCTTCTCCCCCACAGGAACAGGAAGGAATTTCCCTCCTGCAGCTCCCTGGGGACCCCCAGCATCCCTCCTTCCCTCCTGCAGCCACCCCAGAGCTCCTGCTCCCACCACAGCAGCGTTTTACCCCTGCACTGCAGCTGCTGCCCAGAACCTTCCCAGGCAGAAATGAACCAAAACACTCCTGGCCATGGCCAGGGGCAGATAAGGGCTCGTCCAAAGCAAATACACAAACCTGCCCAGCATTACATATTCCATGAAGTATTAGGAAATAGCACGTTTGCTCCCAGATAAAGGCAGCAGAGCCAGCCAGAGCTGGGCTGGGAAGCCAGCTCGGCTGTTTACTGCTGGCTGGAGCAGCTGCCTTTGCTGGGGGGACCCTCGTGACCTAAGAGGTTGTTTCCACCTCTAAGTGCATTAATCCTGACATTTTCCCTTTCCCTTTTTCCTGGCTGTGCTGTCAGATAACATCGAAGCGCGAGAGGCAGCTCAGCACAGAGCAGATAAGATCTGTCTGGGCTGTTCAGGGTTTGCTTTTGCTCTTATCCCTAAATCACCTGGTTTTATCAGAGGAAATTATCACCTGCACAAGTCCTGGCACAGAAACACACCCAAATGTCAGCTCCTGTGGCTGGGTGGGCAGCTCTGCGCTGCCACACCTCATCCTTGCTCAGGTTAACTGATACCTTCCCTCCCTCTGAAATTAACATTAAATAATTAAAAACAAATCCATAAAAATCAAAAAAATTGTTACGGGAAGAAGCCCAAGCCTTTCAAATCCCACCCCACTGTAAGAACAAGTCCCTGTGGTCCACCTCATCTTTTCACAGGATCCACAAACAGCAGGAAAGGGCTGCAATTATCCACGGAACAAAACATCCCCTGCAGTTGAGAATGGAAAATTCTGCTGGCTGCAGAGCTCCAGGGCTGGGAGCAGCCGAGGCACGGGGGCCTGGCACCCACAGTGCCCCCTCCTGCTCCCCAGCACTCCCCCCATGGCTCTGCCAGCCCCACACTTCTCTGGACACTGCCTCACCTTAGAGACAACACCAAGTTTTCCAGCTGTGCCCTCACCAGACAGGGAATGCTGAGGGGTTCCCTCTCCTCCAAGAGCTCAGCTCTCCCAGGGATGCACAGCTCATCCTGAGGCCATCCAGACGGGCTAGGGCGCAAGCACAACCTCCCAAAGCTCCCAAATTCATGAGCATACAAGGGGTATTTCCACATGGGCCTGGATTCCTGCAGTGCCCAGCCCTGCCACCCATCTCAGCCCACTCTTCCCAGGGGCCCAGCCATCCCCAGGGAGCTCCAGACATCCCACACACACCTGTCACCAGTGTGCTTTACGTCCTGAGTTAATGCTTCAAAGGTTTTTTCAGGACAGCTGGCCCAGAGGCAGCCAGAGACTTTGCAGCAGCCCAGGGCTTCAAAATTCCTCAAATCTGGCACAAAAAGCTGCACTGATGTGAGCCACAGCCACCCTCACCCCTGCAGGGAGCCTCAGAGCAGGGAACAGCTCTCCCAGAAAAGGTTTCATGGATGAGGAGGGGAATTTATCAGGGATGAGCCCACAGACACGTGGGGAACCACGATGCTCAGAGCTCTCACACCTGGTGTTCCCAGCCTGCCTGTCCTGGTGGGAAGAGCCCCCCTCACATGGGGCTCACCCCGTGCCACGCTCCCCTCTGCTTTTGGGTTTCAGCCACAGTGGGGAGATAATCCCACCCAAAACCCCTGGGCTGCTGCTCCTGCCTGAACCACGAGCCCTTTGCAGGGCTGGGGACAAGGGCTGGGTGACAAGGAATGCCAGCTGTGGTGCTCTGAGCAGCGTTCCTGGCACAGGGACAACTCACCCACAGTAGTGCCGTCCTCCTGGTACACGGGCCTCAGCAGCTGTGAGGGACAGAGGGGACACGGTCACCTGCAGGCCACCAACACTGACAACCAGCTACAAAAGTTAACATGCCAAACCCAGCCAAGCCAAGGCACTTCAGAGAGGGGGGTAAAAATAAACATTTTTGCAGTAGAAAATGAGAGCAATGACTTGCAGAGTGGTTCTTGTGCGGTGGGAACGCTCCCCACATCCTCCCCAAATTCCTGGGGTGAGCCCCGAGGGGAGGCAGCAGGGAAATGCTTCAGGAAAACAGTGAAAGCTCCACCAGGGGACAGAGGTGTGGCTTGTCAAATTGGCAAATATCTCGAGATGAGTCTGAAGCAGGGGCCAGGAGAGGCTGCAGAGCCCCTGCAGCCCCCGAGCCCTACCTGGCTGCCGGGGTTCAGAGGAGCCAGGATGATGTAGTTCTGGTCTGCAGCAGAGGGCACCCGGGACAGGGCTGGCAGGGTGCTCTGGCCCCTCTTGCCCAGCTCGGTGTACCTGTCCCAGGTGTGCAGCCCCAGCCCCTCGCTGCCATCGTAGAGGATGTGGCAGCTGCGGCGCTGCTCCACCTGCGCGGGGCCGTTCTTCTCCCGCTTGTTGGGAGGGGACTGAAGGTCGTAGGTGGATTTGCAGGAGGACCTGCGGGTCATGCCCTCGTGGGCCGGCTTCACCTGAGGCACCAGCCTCCACACCAGGAGGATGATCTCCGTGGGACAGTTCCTGCCAGAGATGGGGTGGGGAAATCAGCCCTTCCTCCCTCCAAAGCCTCTGCCCCTCTCCCGTGCTCCGAACCCTTCCATCCTTCCCTCTCCTCCAGGGAATCCTCTCCTGCATCCTTCCCTCTCCTCCAGGGAATCCTTTCCTGCATCCTTCTCTCTCCTCCAGGGAATCCTCTCCTGCATCCTTCCCTCTCCTCCAGGGAATCCTCTCCTGCATCCTTCCCTCTCCTCCAGGGAATCCTCTCCTGCATCCTTCTCTCTCCTCCAGGGAATCCTCTCCTGCATCCTTCCCTCTCCTCCAGGGAATCCTCTCCTACATCCTTCTCTCTCCTCCAGAGAATCCTCTCCTGCATCCCTCTCTCTCCTCCAGGGAATCCTCTCCTGCGTCCTTCTCTCTCCTCCAGGGAATCCTCTCCTGCATCCTTCCCTCTCCTCCAGGGAATCCTCTCCTGCATCCCTCTCTCTCCTCCAGGGAATCCTCTCCTGCGTCCCTCTCTCTCCTCCAGGGAATCCTCTCCTGCATCCTTCTCTCTCCTCCAGGGAATCCTTTCCCAGCTTTGTGGATCCCTCAGAGCTTTCTCCTTCCCGCAGTCACTCAATGCTCCCACCACCCTGCCCTGGGATCCCTCAAGCCACCTCTCCCTGCCCTGGGTTTTTTGGGGGGCACCCACCGGATTTCGTGTGCCAGCTCCACACATTTCCAGTGCTCCACAGGCTGCTCGTTCAGCTGCAGCACCGTGTCGAGCTGCTGCAGACCTGCCTTCTCTGCTGGGCCACCTGAGAGGGACAAATTCAGTCACCAGCCAGGCAGGAGGCCAAGTGGGACAGGGAGGAGAAGCCCTGGAGCTTGGAGACACCCAGAGAGCTCCACAGCTTGCACCACTCACTCCCCCAAACCCCATCTGACACCCACAGCCCAAAAATGAAGTGGGGTCAGCCAGCCTGGAGCTTCATCCTGCAGCACATTCACACACAGAGCACCAGGACAGAGCCATCAGTGCTCCCCAGAGCCACTGTGGGAACTTCCAGTGTTCCTGGGCTGCAGTGGGGAGCAGCAGGGCGCTCTGGAGACACCAGCCCATCCCACAGCTCCACAGCAAGAGGATCTACTCAGGGAACTGAGGATTCCTGCAGTCCTGCTCCCCTCTGACCGTTTTCCCCCTGAATGATTTCCCAACCAGACAGACAGTTCTCAGGTTGGAGAGGGAGCAAAATCTCTGTAAATTACTGCAAAGCACTGCCAAAATAGTGACACAGTGCTAACCCAGTGGCCTCTGACCTCATTAGAGGCAACAGAGAATTCATTTAATGAAGTTTCTTGGAGGTACCCAGAGTCCTGCAAGGCATGGGAGCTCCAGAATCCCAACCAGCTCTGGGAAGCAGAAAAGGTGCAATAATTCATTCAAATCAAGAGGGATGAAAGGGATCCAATCTCTTACCAGAGTCCACTGCCTGCACACGGACTGGGGAGTCACAGCAGATCGTGAAGCCAAAGCCATCACTGCCGCGAGGGATCGTGATCTGCAGGGAGACAGCGGAGCCGCCCGTCAGCGGGACAGCAGCCACGCTGTGGGATGATCCCCTCACTCCCACACGGCCCCACAGCCTCTGGAAATGCTGGCACATGGCATTTTAGAGGTGGGGAAGGGCTGTCACTGTGACCCCCACAAGGCTGCCCAAAAGGCGGTGCCAGTTGAAGCCAAGGGTGTCTGGAATGGCACAAAAGGAGCGTTTATTCAGCTCACACTGCTCCCAGCTCTTCCAAGTGCAAGGAAAGCTCTGAGAAGCTGCTGGAAAGGAAAACCTGGCAGTCTGGCCCTGACACTGACTCCTCTAAGCAAGTCACTTAAACATTTCATTTCCTGTTCATTTCTATTCTGGAGAATACAGAAATAGCAGCACTCCCCTGCCCCGGAGGGAGCTGCCAGCTCAGCATGCTCCTGTCCTCCAGAAATCCATGTGCATCACCCCCTTCCCTGGGCTGAGTGTGTTTTCCCTCTCTGAGTTTGGAGAGGGTGGATGCTGGGTTGATTTAGGCTCATTTCTCCTCCTCATTCGAGGAGCATTGAGCTTATTAATAAAAAGATGCTTATTTTTTGATGTTGGCTTCCAGCAGCAGCTCAGCGTGACAGATCCTGTAAATACCTGATTAGCCCCCAAGACATTAGTCAAGATGCTTGTTTCACTGGCAGAGAAAAGAAAATTAAAATCCTACATCTGACCTGTATTATTTGGAGAACAAATAGGCAGAAGGAAGACGAGGAATTCAGCAGAAGTTGCCAAGAAGGTGATATGGTTCCCCACTCCTTTACCACAGGAGGGCAAAGGCAGTGAGATCTCATTTCCCTATGCCTTGTCCCTGTGTGATTGCTCAGCATAAAATCAGGCTTCAAAAGAGAAATTGGCTCATCCTGGCAGGATCAAAACACAGATCCAGCCCCACTACACTGACTGTTTTTTCCCTCCGGAGCTTTCTGGCTTCACAAAGAGGTGACTCTGCACCTCTGAATGAACCTCACAGCTCAGTCCAATCAGGACTTGGACCCCACAGTCCCTGTGAGCCCCTTCCAGCTCAGGATATTCCATATCCCACAATTTCATCTCCCACTCCTTCTCCCTGAGCTGGCTGACCTTGCCCCCCACCTGCCCTGTGCCTCTGAAAATCAGCTTCTCCCTGCTGATGCTCCTCAGCTCCCACCACAGGCAGCGGTTGCCCATTTTTTGCCCATTTTTTGCCCATTTTTTCTGCCATGCACAGAACTAAAGAATTGTGAGCATCTGCCGAGAGCTGGGAGGTGGGTGGGGAGGATTGCTGTACCCAAACCTTGCCAAAAAAACGCAGAGGAAATTTTGAAAATAAAGACTTGAGGAGGTCTGAGAGACAAAGCAGAGCCAGTTGTTATTCAGCCAAGGCAGAGCAGCTTTCCTGCTTGAAATGGTCACCCCAGCCCTGGCAAGAAAGGGGCAGCTGGGTTTGGAATTCTGCTGCTTCTGTAATTCCCAGTATTTGCTGTCCCCACAGCAGCTTTGGAATAACCTGGATGATGAGCTCAGGAGCACAGGGAGAAGCTGACCCTGAGCTGGGAGTCCCAATCCACACCACAGAGAGAAAATTTCTTTGGAATGCAGGAGACTGGGACCTGCACATGGAAAAGCAGCACCTGGCATCGTGCACTGGGAGAACTGGAACCAGCACAGCGAGCTGCTCCTCAGGAAACAAGTGCTGTTAGCTCCCAAAAACACTAAAATTAATTAAAAAGAGGCAGTAGCAGCCTGCTGTGCCTGCTTCTTCTCTAATAAGGGGAAATTAAGACAACACCTTGCAGCTTAACGCTGTTACCAGCAGCATGCTACCTGCAAGCTGTACAGTAAATATATTTGTTGCATTTACAGATATTTTTATATTTCAATAATTTATACAGATTTAAAAAGCACCCCCTCTCTGTCCATTTCTCCACTGCAGCAAGAGGCAGAGAGCAGCCACAGGCACCCACGTGAAGATGCTTTCCTTCTCTCCTCACTATCATTTACAGATTGTACCGATACCCAATCGATGCCTCACAAGCAGCACCCACAGAGCCCAGCCATGGCAAGAGAACCCCCAGACACTCCGAGATCTTCCCAGGGCTGGCAGCCACGCTCTGGCTGACACCAGGGGAGATACAGACCTGCCTGTACCTCCTCTCCGAGCACACCTTGCAGAGTCCATTGAAGCGGTTCATGCCTGGCAGCCCCCGCTTGCCGCCAGCCCATGAAAACCCCGCGGTTCCCGCGGCGATCCCGGACTCCTCGCAGTGCAGGAGCGTGGAAGGAGCCCCAGTCAAACTGGCATGACCGCCCATGGGAACCCAGCTCCCGAGAAGAATGGCAGGAAGCCACCTTTCACCTCCCCGGCCCCTGTGAGCGCTGTATGCCGCTTTACGATAAGCCAGAGGCTTCCTGAAAACCCTCGCTGACGAGGAAGGGAGAGAGTTTTATATTAAAATTCCTGTCAACTCTTTAGTATTCCCTAGTCCCAGCTCTGTTGATGTGGCTTTTGTTCCCGTGGCATTCTTGGAGCACTTTGTTATTGCGACGTTCTCACAAACACTTGGAGGATGTTTGAGCGGCGTTTCACAGGCACTGGCTGTGAGAGCCTCGCTCCATGAAAGACACAGCTCCACGCTCATGAAAAAAAATCAGAGGTTTGGGTTTGTAAAAGCAAAAAAAAATCCAAAAAAACCAACAAAAAACAACAAAAAAAATCAGTTTGTTTTTGAAAGCACAGACCCAGAGGATATGCACGTCCCCAAGCTTTGTGTTTGTAAAGTCACCGAGGGGGAAGCACCGAGGTCAGCTGAGCTGCATCCATGGTGGAATTTGGGAATTAAAGGCCAAGGGGAACTCTTGCATTGCCAGCAGCAGGATACCCAGCAAGGCTCAGCTGCCAGAGCTGGGAGATGGGATTCCAACAGAGAAGAAAACACCTTCCACACTCCTACAGGGGGACGAAGAAGGAGGGAAGGCTGGAGGGAGCCCACAATCCAGGTTCCTTTGCACAGTGGCTGGGGTGGCAGGGCCAGGGAGGGAGCTGAGGAGCACTCCCAGGAGAGCCACGGTGGCAGAACCATCAGAGCATTGTCCCAGGCTGCCAGGCTGGAGCTGGAAGGAGGAGCAGCCTTCCTCCCCAGCCACCACCTTTCAAGTCAGTGGCGACTGCCGGAGAGGAAGGGAGGAGAGGGGCGCTGGCTTTGTTTGTCTTGCTGAGCCCTGTGCTGTAAAACAAATAACTGCAAATGCAGCTGAGGGAAGCACAGGGCGGAATCCAGCACAGATAAATCACGGGACCGCCCGAGCCCCGTTTCCGATGCAAACCATGTGTTTGTGTTCCCATTTCCCATCCTCGCCTCTCCTGTAAATCACCCAGGCTCCACCATGGGCCTTTCCCTTCCCACAGCGCTCGGTCCTGGAAGGAGGAGAGGAGCAGACGTGTCCAAGGAGCCCAGGGCTGTGCTGTGTCTTGAGTGGGAATGCACTGGAAAATCAGGAGGTCCCTGAGGCTAATGGGGGTTAGCACCCAAATCATCCCCCTCCACCAGCTGGGGCTTGACTGGGGTAACAAATTGCCTGTGGCAGCCAAGGTGTGAGAGGAAGGTGACAGAGCCCCCTCACCTCAGCCTCACCCTCACTGAAACACTGTCCCTTGGCTGGTCTGGAGCCCCCTCATGCAGGCACCCACATCTTCCCAGCACCGCAGGCTCACAGCCCTGTCACACCCACCTTCAGCTGCTGCAGGGTCACAGCCTCCTGCCTCTCCTGGGCTGCGCCTTCACCTCCTGCCTTGACTTCTGAAATGATTTTTAAAAGAAGTTTTAAAAAGGGAGAAGGCCCCAGGAGTGTGACAGCACATCTGGCAATCCCACACCGCTCATGAGGCACAGACACATCCCCGACAGGCAGGGTGGCTGCACACCTGGGACACCACCTGCTGCCCCACCCTGGGCCTGCTCCTCCACACCCTGGCAGCCCTGCAGGGCCAAGGCAGGAGGAGAAGCTCCCAAACATCCAGCACAGACCCCAGGGACAAAGAGCCACTGCAATGAGCCCCGAGTCTGAGAGGCAGGAGGCAGCGTGAGGACAAAGCCAAGCAAGAGGGACAGACGTGGCTGCAGTGTCCCCACAGAGCCCCAGAAGTGAAGGGGAGAGCAGGGACTGCTGAACCAGCCACGATCTCTACCCCACAAGTTTTTGGGATGCATCACAGGGCCAGGCAGTGCCCACAGGGGCAGTGGGGCTGGGGCTGCTCCACACACAGGCTCTGACACAGGAGCATCCCCTGGGATATCCCCATGGTGGGACACACCTGTGCTCTGCTTCAGCCTCCTCATGGCCACCTTCAGGTGCTTGGTCCTGCCCAGGTCCTCCCCGAGGAGGTAATACCAGCCGCTGATGTCCTGTGGGGAGGGAAGGAGCTGTGCTTGCAGGGCCAGAGCTCACCCCATTCCACCCCTCCAGGGCAGGAGCTGCCCTGGTTACACAGAGCTGCTCACACACAGACTCCTTCTCTCAGCAACAGCTAAAATTCCACCCTCCCTGCAAGGAGGGAACAAGCAATGGTGAAGGAACAAGACTGCAGGTTTTTAAAGGTATCCAGCAGTATCATGCAGCAGCCAGGGGACAGGACCTCGTCTCAGCCTTGCTGAGGTCCTGGGAGCACCACACTCTTAAAAAAGCTGCACCTCACTTGTCCAGATTGGCCTCTCCTCCACCTCTCAGGGCACTGCCACCAACAGCTCCTTTTCAGTCTCCTGCTATGAGGAAACATCCACACCTCACGTGTGTAAATCTAAAAAAACAAGGAGCATTTGGACAACGCTCTCAGGGTGGGATTGTCTGTGCAGGAGTCGGACTCAGTGCTCCCTGTGGGATATTCAGGATATTCTGTGAGCTCAGGGGATTTATTAACACTTCCCTCCAGGCATTTCGGTGCCCGAGGGAGGCAGAGCCAGCTGTACTAACTGTGCTCAGCCAGGCTGCGGCAGCAGGGACACGGCTTCTGGCCCAGAATCGCTGCAGGAGCAGCCAAAAATCCTCTGTGCCTGCCCTCTCTGCCCATCAGCACTGCTGGGATCAGGCTGAGTGTGTCCCACACACATCACAGCCCCGTGTCAGATGTGACCCATGGCAGGCTGGCCCCACGTCCTGTGCCCCCTCTGCAAACTGGGCAGGCAGAAGGTGCTGGGGACACCTCTGTGCACCCCCAGCTGCTGTCACTGTGTGCCCCTGAAGAAGGCAGTGACATCCCCTGTGCCAGGATCCCTCCTCTGACAGCCTCCCCACCCATCTCCAGCAACCACTCCAGTCCCACACTGGCCATCCATACTGGGAATGGGAGCACAGAACTCCCCAGGCACCTTCTCCCACAGGAGGAAAAGCCTGTTTTCATCCACCCACCGAGCCCAGAGAGCCCAGAGAGGCACACCCCAGCCCCACACCCTGCCCTGGGACACAGAGGTACCTTGTCCAGGGACAGGAGGGACTTCACACCGAAGCTCATGCAGCCGATCAGTTCACTCTGCCTGCAGGAAAAGCACAGTTCAGGGACTGTCAGCACACGCCTGCTGAAGCACCAGATCCCCCCTGGCACCCCTTTTCAGGGAGCCCCCAACCATCCCTGCCCAGGCAGTGCCCAGGTCGTGCCCCTGCTCCGTGGTTTGAGCAGTGTAAGCATGAGGCTCAGCTGCAGCAGGGCAAGGAGGAGCTGGGCTGAAGCACCCTGGCCACCTCCAGCTGGCAGGAGCTCGGCCAAGGAGGCAGCTGGCACTTGCCTGGGCTGGCAGCACAGCCTGCAAGGTGCCAGGCCCCTTGGTGCCACTCACTGCACTGTCCCCAGAGCGAGGGGAGGTCACAGCCCACTCCAGCCTGGCTTTGGTCAGCAGAGCAGCTGCTGGCCCAGCTGATGGCTCCCAAGCAGCAGTGATGGCAACAGAGTGCCAAGGGCAGGGTTTCCTGCCCATGGTGCTCACCAGCACTGGCTGCCCATGGGTGTGACCCAGCTGGGACATCCCTGGCCCTGGCGCAGAGCAGCGCTGAGGTCAGGGCCAGCCCTTGGGACCTGGGGCCCTGGAGGAGCTCACGTGGGGTGACCAGGGCAGGGGACAGAGTCTCTGCCACAACAGCCCCATCTGAAAAGGATCCTATGCCAGCCCCTTACCTGGAATTCCTCTCTCTGTTCCAGACTGTGACCAGGAGACGCTTCTGCTCATCCTCATCTTGCACTGGGCTGCAACAAGAAGAGGGCACAGCCCATCAGCCTCCCCAGGAGCGCTCAGCAAGGGCTGCCCTCACAGCCACAGACTCCTCAGCCTCCTCACAGCCAGGTCTTCTCCTCCAGTCTCTGCACAGAGCACTGCAGCACCTCCCCAAAGAGCAATCTGCTCATTTCCTGGCAGACACCTGCAAGGGGATGTGACCTCTCCTGGGCAGTTTCGGGGGGGAACAATCTCACATCCAGCACCAAAGGGTAAATGCAAGGAACAAGCACAGTTCATGCTCTGAAACCACCACCCTGTGCCAAATCAAACGCTGCACAGGTCAGAGGGCTGGCCCAGCCTCTGCCACCAGCAGTGACAAACTCTACCCAAACACTAAGTCATGCAGCTCCTTTCCCATGCAGAGACATGCTGGAGCTGTAGGAAACCCTTTTACCTTCCTCATTCACTCTACTGCAGGTGCCAGGTCTAAGAACAGGAGTGTGTTTGTCCAACTCCTGCCCAGCAAGAAAGTCTGAGCATGCAGGAGCAGCACTGCCATGCTGTGTGTGCTGACAGCTCTGCAGAGCTCTGCCCAAAAGTTCGGGGCACTTCAGCTACAAAAACCAGCAGAATAATGTCTGTCACTCCTCATCTCAGCAGCAGAGCTGCTCAGGCGTGCTGAGTGTTTATTAGAGATCACAAAGCAAAAGCAAACACGGGGTCTTGGCGTGGGGAGAGAGCCCTGGGACAGCAGCACGGGGTCCCCACTGCTCTGGGTGAGCTGCTGAGGGATGGCCCAGAGCTGATTCTGCCATACTCACAACACAAAGTGCTGGTGGAACACGGGATTTTTGCTGTCTGGCACAGTCTTCGTCTTTTGCCTGCACTTCCAGTCAGCATCTGGCACAATGGACATCTTTGGGAGGAAAACAAAGCGTGTTTAACATGCCCAGAGCACGGCCCCAGCTGCCGTGGCAGGAGACTGGCACAGGCACTTGTATGGATGGTGAAGCCCACAGATCCTGCTGAGCCCAGCTAGCGGGTGGCTGGGATCACTTCACCCTTCTGCCTGCCAGGTTCTGCATT